TGACCATGCTGAAAATGCCAGCGACTTATCACTTCACTAAGTTCAGCGAAGAGATATTTGAGAATTGCATAAAAAATGCATACCCAATTAAGAACGAGCGAAATACTTTTAAACACAAGTGCGTATGTGTGTTCGCTGCACTTGGTTTATGCGGGAATGCAATATAAATGCGTGTGGGTGTTCGCTGTTCTTTGTTTATGCGGGAAATGCATAAGTCGCTTTAACACAGGGTAATTTCGATTTAGATGAGATGTTAAAGGCGGCTGGAGATACTTCCTTCTTCGAGGATTTTCCCGGATCTCAAATGTCACGACTCTCCATCTACTTTAAGGAACACCAGTTTATAACTTCTAAGAGATCAGAGTTGTATGGCAGAACGGACTTTTTAGCGAATTGTGGGGGAATTTTTGGTCTCTTCATGGGGTTTTCTATATTAAGTTTAGTAGAATTATTTTATCATTTATCGCTACGCTTATGGAGCAATATGAGACGTTTGGCCGGTCCACATTCTTCACCGATATTGTAAATACGAGAATTTCGCAGTTTTCACATTTATTTGTTCATATGTATAAATATCTGTATATGTTCATATTTGCCTTGTATGTAGTATATGTTTGCAAATTTGTTTGATATTTTTTTAAATAAAACGTATGTGTGTATCTACGCGTTTTTATAATATCCAATATTTACTTTTGTCCAATTTTGTAATAAAGTAGTTTCCATAATTCATATTAAAAAAAAATTAAATGTTTTTATTTAGTTATCTCATTAATGCGAAACGACTGATGACTTCACGGAAATGCGTTTTTTTAAAAACATGTTACGTTAATTATCTCTTAAAAACCCTACTTCGAAAGAAATTAACCCCTATTTAAAGCTCAAAACGTAACTGCTTTTGAGTCCACCAATGTGTCCGGGTCAATTTTCTGAGCTTCGGGTTGTGGAGTGCTTGGCTTTTTGGTTTGCAGTCGCAAGTGTTTAATGTGTTCCCCGTCTTCCTGCTTTCCGCTTCGTTTCAATACTGCGGCACTGTTGTCACTTTTTTCAACTTGAGCCATTATTTTCGACACTAGAGCTTTGGAGCTGGTAGGCTCCTGGTTGTCCTCTATGTCCGAATTTATTTTGCGTTTTTTAACATTTGGTTTGTAACCTTTAACAGCATCTTCTCTCGGCTCTGATTGAGTCACTACTTCTGTAATAGAAATATATATTTGTTTATCATATTTACGAACGTTTTCTTCGATCATTTTTACCAGACAATAGTTCTTCCTCAAAATCGCTGGCAACTTCATAATCTTCCAACATATCTGCTATGTGCTCGTCTGCTTCTTTCATGGTGGTCGATTCAACACAATATTCCGTGTCGCTTTGATTGTCCACTTTTTCATAATCTAGCATTCCATATTCAACGACATCTACGCGTTTACTCTCCTTTAGTCTAATGAGCGCCGATTCATCATTTAAGTCTTGTATGGAAAATACCATTTCTGCATCCAATGCTTCATCTACTTTATCCATCGCTTCTTCACATTCCTTATCAATATTATCGTCACTATCTATGTCACTATTATCTCCACAATAAAAAAATGGTACCGCTGTGGTTGCTAGAATCGTTCGACGTGCATTTTTTATTATATACTTATTATCGAAATGGTCGGAACACATGAGCATATGTGATTCCGGCAATCCATCTGGCACTTTACCTCGTTTCATCCATTCCTCATATCGTCTCGGATCCTTGGGGAATCGAAAAATCGTGAATTCCTTATTGCCGCAAGGTACCTTATGATGTGTGTAGTTATCGCAGCCTTTATATTTGCACGTTCTAAAACGCATAGAAGAAAAAGTTTTACTCATCTCGGAGGATGAGGCTACTTGTTATTGTGTCGATGTTGATTAAATTTACGGCAGTGGATTCTTTAAGAAATTTGTGCTACCAAAAAACTAACTTCCTTACAAGGAGCTCTCCTCACAGCACCAAAGAATTTTCTACATATTCCAAAGGCAATACAATATTTTGACAGTAGAGTCTTAAAACTATCGATGGCACTATCGATAGTTTCAATTTTTTTAGACTATCAATACTCATTGATAGTTTTTTCTTATACTATCAAAAATATCGATAGTTTAGTAGGACTATCGATCATTTCTCCCAAGTTTTTTGAAATTATACATACACATCTTAATCGTAAATCCTTTTTTGTTTGTATAACTTCGAACTTTCTAAAAAGATAGTGCTATCGATAGTTTTGTTTTTTTCGAGACTATCGTGAATAT